AGGAAAATATTTTTTTAAAGTTGGTTGTATTTATAATGCAAATTTTCTTGGAACTATAATATCGGTATCATCGTCTTCTCGAGATGCACAGTCTTACCGAGCCATCTACCTATACTTCCTCCCCCTCAAGCTGTGTTCCGCGCCGAGCGTAACGATGGCATGGCAAACTCTTCGTGGCACAGTTAAGGGTAGGTGCAACCCTGTTCCACCAACTCCTTCGTAAGCCTCCGGTCTACGTACCCCGAGGCACCCGATAACGAGGTAGTGAGAGTAAACCGTTGAAATTGGTCAACACGGGGTTAAATTCGACGTCCTGTTCGATAAATCCACGTTCGCTGATTAAATTGTGCGAGGCGGAGAATCGCGTCTGGCCTCTTCGAAGATCGCAATCGAGCGAAGTTGGCGAATGGATCGGTGGATACATGTGCAACACACATACGGTGCGCTCGTTAGCGGCGATGTGTGTTTGCAAACGCGAGTATGGAAGATAGATAGGTGTAATTGCCTACAAATAGATGAATGTGTTGTTTATCGTTGAAAAAAATTGTAATCACAAATCACAATAATCGCGCTATAAGTCATATGAATATTCTCGTTGAAACAGACGTCGATAAAAGTGGAAATTTTTAATGTATACAAAAATTTTAATATAAAATAATTTTTTTTATTCCAAAGGAATAAAAAGAGCAGAATTCCATAGGAATATGTTTTTATTGGCTCAAAATAAAAAAAAGTTACTTTAAATAGAGCACACAAATTTTTAAAGCTATCGAATATGTTTCGTTAGAACAAATTCGTTGTAAGTAAAAATTCCTAACTTTTGTGAAAAAAAGATTATAAATTTATTGAGATACGAATTCGAATTTTTCCATCAAATTGATGGATTCCATTTTAAATATTGAACTTTACATCTGATTCATTTCTATTTTATTTACGATATACAATATTTTTAAAAATTCTGGTCTATATTTATTTTTTTTAACCTATTGTTAGATTTTTGTCTCCTACTTTTTTTTTATGCTTTTATTAAATATTTTAGATAAAGTATAATAGTTATAGAAAATATAATATTGCATAGAATAACTATTATAGATATCAGACAATCTGGAATTCTTTTTAAAAAAGATTTTTTGATAAGCTAATTGGCGCAAAGTTTCCTTGATTCTATTAAGCAAAAATAAATAAAAGCAAATATTACATTGTCTTTCGAAAAAGATATCAAATTTGTGATAATTTATAGGTAGATTCGTGTCTTCAAAAACTTGTGAATATTCTCTCTCTCTCTCTCTCTCTCTTTTAATACGATTTCTTTCAAAATAGGAATCTTTTTTTAGCATAATTAATTAATTTAAATTAACATTTTGTTAAAGTTTAGCTCTGTTATTTATTTATTTTCCTGAGACTTTTAGTTGATGTAAAACTTTTTTTCACTTGCTTTTAACTCGAGAACTATCGATGTTTCGAAAAAATTGATTCCAAATTGATCAGAAAATCTATTACTAAAATGACATCCATAAATTTTGGAACGTTCTTATATATGAATGAGAAAGCTTTACCAAAAGAGATTTCTCTGTTTCTTCCGCTTTGTTAAAGTCACATTCCGGAACAGTGCGCCGACGTGCAAGCTCGAGAATGAAAGTAAAGTTATCCTTGCCATTCGCACAGCCCTTTCATCAGGACGCACCAGTGTTTATCACGCGCTCAGTAACCGCTTTTGGTTCCCCGCAACGCGTCTGCAACACGGCGACTTACCTGGCACGCCTGGTAAATCGTACCCGCTAAACTTCATGAATTTAGTGAGAAACTTGGCTACCGTAACCGAGCGCGCCCAGCCGACGATTCCTGCTCTTTTGAACCGACCTTCGTCGTACTTAACCCCCGCGGGTTGCAGCCGCGCATCCGTTCCAAAAGACGGAACTTCAGCGGGAAACCGTGGCCGCACTTCACGTCTCGTCGTGGCGGCGGCGGCCAAACTGCGAGATAAAACCCGCGAGAATTGAGACAAAGTTTTAGCTCCTAGTCGAGAAAGTAACGATATTGATGCTTTTATTATGCGTAAAAAGGATTAAATGTCGTGGTTGAGTTAACAACAAGTTAACCTATATTTATTATTGCGAAAATTAACAAACTAAATACTTCTAAATATTTCTACTGCAATTTCTTTGACAGATGCGAATCTCATTATGCGGGAACGTACAGCAATTTCTCGGAGCAGCGAAAACGTTTTCATAATAAGCTGAGAAACCTGCAGTCTGATTTCTGCTCATACGTATGATTACAAGGGGCTGCGAGTTCGGTTAACAATCCGAGGAGAAAGTTATGTACACGGTGAGATTGTTGGTACTAATGGTAGAGGAACTTTGATATGAATTTCCTTAATGATTTGAGTTTGACACAGCGGCGCGGAAACTTAAACATATCTGCATCGAGGACTGAGTCGACGTCTCTTGCCTTTGTAACTATCAAGTTTCTCTTGCTCTCGTTATACCCGTGTGCCTTTGTGCAATAGTAATTTATCATGCGACTTCCCAATGAATAATAATTTTCTTTCATGAGTTACCGAATAATGATTCCAGAAAGATAGATATCTAAAAAAGAATTAAGAGGAAATTAAAAATGAAAAAAATTATATTTACATAAATTAATAATTGCAAAACTATATTAAATAATCTAATTGCTACAAACAGATTCGTGCTTTTAAATATAATTCCGAAAATCTTTAATATTGGAATTTTATATATCATTTACAATCAGTTAAAAATTTGTCATTAATATATTGAGATTGATATAAATTTATATACGTAGTTTCTCAAATGTCATTTACAGCATTTTATGAGTAAATTACTCGATTGGTAACGCGAGATAAAAAGCTATTTTTTATTAACGTTATTTTTTGTTATATTAAATAATAATATTTGTTGAATTCAAAGATGGACTTTCTACTATAAAAATTGTAATATTACTGCCCTCGCAATTGTACGAGTGCTCCATATACGTTCGCAACAATGAGATTTCCCTGTATAAAGCGTGACTCGTCGGATCGTGGACGAATGTGTTTCATGCTGACGTCATGTTTTTCATGGCAGCTACACAAGTGCGCTCGAGGGGGAACGATCATTAATTATACTTGTATGAAATTCTATTTCGATCCTGTTGAACCTATGATAAAGAAGTGCGTTTACCTCATATCTCATGTACGTGAATATATTTCACGTGTAATAAGAGTAGATACTGTTTGAAATAGTGACGTGAAAACATGACTGCGTAATATCTGCATAATTATCGTTGAGGTGCGAAAATACGTTTACAATGAACTTTTACCGCTTTTTCTCACTGTTTATCAGAAAATTTGTAGAGAAAAATTAGCTTATTTTTTCGACGTAACATGTACGATTGTAATATTGTTGTTTAGTAAAAAAAAAATAAATTAAATCTTTTTTTCACTGTTATTCGCGCTTATCGGGGTGCTTGATGATTGACCTGTTTTAGCATATTTTTAATTGAATAAACAATATACAGAATATTGAATGTCTAACAAATTTGTATTTCTTAATCATTATTATAACCTTTTTAGTCTTTATAAAATTATAATTACGTTTACGATTATCATATACGTTTTAAAAAGCTCTAAGTATACTTTCGTTTTTTCGAAACATTGTTTGTTATTTAAAAAGATGACTTCTACAATTAATTCTAACTCTATTGCTGAACCGATATTGAAAAGTGTCATCAGAAATTTTGCTTACAATCTTCTGCAAGTCAGTATTAAATGCGACAAAGTAAAATTTTTCTCTCCACTTTTTACAAATATTAAATTTTATTTAAAAAATGTTTTAACTGAAAAATATGCTATTAAAAAATTGATAATAATAATTTATTCCCATTTTTTATTTCCATTCATTCATGAAAATGTCAAAAAACACGGCTGTCGTTATTTTAATAAAATACTTATTTGTGTTTAAAATATTTAAATAAATGTTTTACATATATTTATATAAAATAATATTTTCACAGAGTTGTTTTATATATTTTTGCTTTAAATTTTGTGGACTTTTAATTTTTTAATAAGTTTATTCGGTTCAACAGGTTTCTCAATAATGTTTGAGGCTTTAGCTATTGATACTTTAACTCACGATAAACAACCATAAGAAGCGTGCTCGGTAGAGACTCATTCAAATTAGGCGTGCCATTAGGCTGTAAACAGCGTCGTTAAATATCGATTATCGGCGTCTACCAGATAACGCGCAAATAATGAAGTTTGCGGTAAGATTGTCTAGTCTCCGGAGACGTATTACTTGGTAAATCGATTCTTCTTTATTTCGTCGACCGCGTCTCCTTTCTCTATTCAATACAATAGCTCGTGCAACCACTATTCCGTTGTAGACCCTGCATAACGTCCGTCTGCGTAGCGTCTCAAGAGACTCATTCGCACGGAAATTTCGAATCCACACATTGTTCGCTCTTTGCATTATTTTCTCTTACCAACAATTTTCGCTGACATGTAAATGTATTGCAGTGTAAAATGTTTTTTTTTTCCAAACACTTGTTGTTAAGCTTTTTTAGCCTGGTCAGAAGCAAAATTAAACCGTTGAGAGCATTGTATAGTATCGACCCAGACATTGTTTGGCTATTACTGGCCATTATTGGGCATTAGTAGACATTGTACACAATTTTGATCGGCAATATATCTCTTGTTGTCTCATCCATGCTAACTATAGCAAGATAACAATGTGGCAATATTTTACAATTTTATTTTGAGTTTTGAACTAATTATGTGTAAAGTCGGATCAATAGTAACATATTTTTAGAATTGATTTTTACTACGTAATAATTATAAAAATATTACGCAGCTATTTTATAGTAAGATGTTACAAAAATATTATTTTTTGATACAGTTTCTTTGTTTTCCAACGTAAGAAAAATATTGTAAAAATGTTATTTTTTATACATATACATTCATGCCTTGGGTTTCAATGCAATTTGGTCCATCAATGCATACATATCTGTTATTCTATTTATTAAAATGTGATAGAAAAATCTGGTACTTGTTTCTTCGATCGTTCGTAAAATTCTGCGTGCCTTTCCGGACTTTCTTCTTTGTATAAAGATTTTTGTAATACTCCATTAAGAAATGATCTCACGATCTTTAACATCATAGCATAACGAAGAAGAAATCTGAAAAATAATATCCAAATACATATTTACGTGGTTTTATAGACATTCTTTATAGGAATAAATTAAGATCATTTATCAGTCAAAGCAAGATATGCTGCATAACAAGCTTTAATTAATACAATTTGTCACATGACAGAGTTAATTTTATGAGATAGTTAAAAATAAAGTACAAGCATTTGATTTTTTCGAAACAATTTCTAACTGTTTTATAAACATAACACATTATGCATCGTATTTTACTTTTACTGGAAAGCGATACTAATTGTTCTATTATTAAGCTATAGATTTTCGATAATTAGTTGATAATGAAATTGTTATTCTAATATTTATTACTTACTTCCAACAGTAATAAACAATCCACTCCGAATAACAAAGGGACGCGTATAGATGTGACATATTTATGCCAAGTGGCTCTGTAGCAAGTAACACCACAATTTTGTAAGGTAACACACGCACGTTATAATTATAATTAAATGTTTCGACAATGCATCTCGTTACGTGTTCCCATTCCGGTGTGATTTCCTTGAAATTAGGTAGCACCCAATATTGATAAATATCTCGTATGCGCTGCTTTATTTCACCAAGACTGCCACGGCAAAAATTATGTCTGGCAAAATGAGTCGTCATTAATGATGTAATCTCGTAGAATAACAGATTATATATATTCAGTTTGCATAATATCCAAAACATGCGGTAATACGTACTCATCTGCTATCCCAAGATAATATCCGTAGCATCTCCACATATGACAGAAAGCCTCTAAATCCTCGTCAGTCGCATTATGCACTCCAAATTCTTTCGGATAAAGTACAATTAAGCCAATAAAGGAACACTGTCCCATTATCAGTTCAAAATCATTTAAATCGTTTAAATGTTTCTGTTCAAGCAATTCGGTAAAAAATTTATAAGGACGTTGTCCGACTTTTTCGAATGGACACGCCGCGGCGAAGTCTTTCAGAAGCGATTCGCGATCCGGACACCATGGATTTGCAAATATACACGCAGCGTCAATTTTATCCTTGCTAATCTGAGACAATTTTGCTCGTATCATCTTGTGCAATTTACGCGTGAATTGCATATCCTTGTGGGCGGGCGTGTCTTCGACCCAAGGCTCTCCGGTGTACCAATTCGTCATTCGACGCACAGTCGATTGATACCTTTGAAGTTAACGCAATTAGAAATTTTTTTTTTTGTAAAAAACAAACAAGAATATCATAAAAATATACCTCTTGTATGATAAATAAGGCGTATGAGATTGGCCACCTAAAATAATTGGATTCAAACCATTCTCGAAAGAATACGCATGTAAGATCGAGAATAGAATACTTGTTACTATTGCATATGTATAATCATGCACAAATTTTTGTCCTCTGCGATACTTATCCACATCCAACCATTCGGGTATCTCTGGCCATCGACTATAGTCTCCTCGACAAAACATAGCCGGAACAAATCCCAACAAGGACTTTGGCACATTCGGAAAAAATTTAGAAAGATTATTGTTAATCCAATTATATTGTTCACTTACTGTCCACATATCGAAGTCGTTTGGGAATAAGCTTTGGTCACAGTTATTTTTTAATAATGTTACGTATTCATATTGGTTTGAATTATCCTGTTTATTTGTTTGAGCTTCCATATTGTTATTCAAATTGCATTTAAAATTGTTGTCACCGTTTTTTAACGTAATGTCGTTTGAAATCACACTGGAATAACGTATCACGCAAGACACGACATTAACAGCACGAGAAATCACATAGAACTGAGCGACTGTACAAGACGGTGTTGTAGATAAAGTCTTATTATGTAATAGACTGGAGTAATAAGGTGCAGTTAAGGCCGCACGTTGTTGATGCGTGATTTTTATTAACTCACTCTGCGCTGAGTCTGTTTTTTCGTGGCTCACGTTGGAGCATTTATTATTTGAGCTCAGAACGTATATATTATAATAAATTTATTTAATTTATTTTAATTTAATTAAAATTTATTGAAATAAAGAATGATGTATTATCAAAATAGTTTAGAACAAAAGAAATAAGCTGTGAAATGTTTTATGACAATGTATTTATTTATATAAAATATTAAAAACGGCCTGAATAGAAAGTTCAGCGTGGACGATTGGTGCTATACGGGGCACGGAACGTGTTAAAGCTTAAATAAAAGATTTGAATAATTTGTTGATTAAATTGCCCAATGCTTTTTTAATTTAAAATAAAGTATTTTAATATATTATAAACATGCGTATTATATTACAAATAAAAGTATACTATAAATATTTTATATGTACATATGTGTATATTCGCGCGTAATATGTTTTAACTTTTATATATATACTTATCGATTACGCACAATTTTTATCAATTTTCTCGAACTAAATAATTCATATATTTATTTCGATTCTGCTCAAGAAAATAGGCTTCGTGAATCATTTTATAATCCATGGAGTAGCGGTAAATAAAAATACACCGCTGTAAGCAATACATGTAAGGTGACTTAGAATTCTGCACACATAAATTGGAAATTGAGCAAATTACAATCAGCAATTAAACGACAATTGAGTAATACGAAAGTTTTCCACCGGGCGAAGTACATTGTACGTCGGAATTGTTTCTCAACGTAAGAAAAATATTTAAAAAACATTTTTTTTTATTTTTTTATTTTTATACATATACATACATGTTTCAACGCAACTTAGTTCATCAATGCAACACACTTCTGTTATTTTATTTATTAATATGTGATGGAAAAATCTGGTACTTGTTGCTTGGACCGTTCGTGAAGTTCTGCTAGCTTTTCCGGACTTTCTTTACTGTTCATAGATGATTTTAGTAGTACACTAAGAAAAAATGATCTCACGCTGTTCAATGCCAAAACATAACGAAGAAAAAATCTGAAAAATAATATCCAAATACATATTTATGTGACTTTATAGAGATTTTTTATATATATAAGAATAAATTAACATCATTTATCAGTCAAAGCAAGATATGCGACATAACAAGCTTTAATTAAGCTTACAATTTGTCACATGAGAGACTTAATTTCATGAGAGAGTTAAAAATAAAGTACAAGTATAATTTTTTCGAAACATTTCCTAACTGTTTTATAAATATAACACATTATGCATCATATAATCATTATGCATCGTATTTTACTTTTACTGGAAAACGATACTAGTTGTTCTATTATTAAGCTATAGATTTTTGATAATTAGTTGTTAATGAAATTGTTATTCTAATATTTATTACTTACCTCCAACAGTAATAAGCAATCCACTCCGAATAACAAAGAGACGCGTATAGGTGTGGCATATTTACGCCAAGTGACTCTGTAGCAAGTAACATCGCAGTCTTGTAAGGTAACACACGCACGTTATAATTATAATTAAATGTTTCGACAATGCATCTCGTTACGTGTTCCCATTCCGGTGTGATTTCCTTGAAATTAGGTAGCACCCAATATTGATAAAAATCTCGTAAGCGCTGCTTTATTTCATCAAGACTGCCACGGCAAAAATTACACCTGGCAAAAAGCGTCGTCATTAATGCTATAATTTTGTTGAATGTCATATTACATATATTCAGTTTGCATGAAATCCAACAAGACAAGTGTTTGCGGCGTACTCATCTGATATTCCAAGAAAATATCCGTAGCATCTCCACAAATGACAGAAAGCCTCTAAGTCCTCGTCGGTCGCATTATGCGCTCCAAATTCTCTCGGATAAAGTACAATTAAGCCTATAAAAGAACACTGTGTCATCGCCAGTTCAAAGTCGTTTAAGTATTTCTGCTCATATGACAATTCAGCGAAAAGTTTATAAGGACGTTGTCCGACTTTTTCGAATGGACACGCCGCGGCCAAGTCTTTCAAAAGCAATTCGCGATCCGGGCACCATGGATTTGCGAATGTACAGGCAGCGTCAATTTTATCCTTGCTGATTTGGGACAATTTTTCTCGTATTATCTTGTGCATTTTACGCGTGAATTGCATATCTTTGTAGGCGGGCGTCTCTTCGACCCAAGGTTGTCCGAAGTACCAACTCATTATTCGACGCCCAGTCGATTGTAACCTTTGAAGTTAAAAAACGCAATTTTTTTCACAAAAAGAAACAATACTATCATAAAAATGTACCTACCTCTTGTATGATAAATAGGGTGTATGAGATTGACCACCTAGGATAATTGGCTTCAGACCATTCTCGAAAGTATACGCATGTAAGAGGGAGATTACAGTAGTTATCATTATTGTGAATATATAATTTTGCACAAATTTTTGTCCTCTGCGATACTTATCCACATCCAACCATTCGGGCGTCTCTGGCCATCGACTATAGTCTATTTGATAAAACAAAGCAGGAACGAATTCCAGCAAGGATTTTGGCACATTCGGAAAAAATTTAGAGAGATTATTGTTTATCCAATTATATTGTTCACTCATTGTCCACATATCGAAATCGTTTGGGAATAAGCTTCGATCAAAGTTATTTTTCAATAATGTTACGTATTCATATTGATTTAAATTATCCTGTTTATTTGTTTGAGCTTCCATGTTATTCAAATTGTATTTAAAATTTGTATCACTGTTTTTTAACGCAATGCCGTTTTCAAAATAGAATAACTTATCACGCGAGATAGGATATATTAACAGCACGAAGATTTGCACAGAACTGAGTGATTGCATCAGATGTTTGTGACGACAGTCATTATAGAATGAAGTAATATGGTCAAGGTGCAAAAAATACTGATGCACGTTATCACGCGTAATCTTCTTTAAAGCTTAAATAAAAGATTTAATTTGTTGTTTAAATTGCTTAATGCTTTTTTAATTTAAAATAAATAATTTTAATATATTATAAACGTGCGTATTATATTGCAAAGAAAAGTATAAATATTTTATGAGTATATGTGTTTATACACGCGTATCTTTTAACTTATATATACGTATATAAATACTGCTTATCTTACGTTTTATCAAGTTAGACAATTAATTGATATGTAATCGAGAGAGTTCGACTCGATCAAAGTACGAGAAACTGTTATTTTTAGATATGACAGACTTGTTATTATGTATAAAATGCTAAATCATGCTATGATGATAAATGCAAAAATCAATTAAAAGCTTTGAGATGATTGAAATGAAGAATAATATTTCTTGAGTGTTAAGATATTAATAGAAGACATTACATAAAAAAGCATTTATAGAAACGACTAGAAATGCATTAGTGTACACATTAATATATACAATTTTTATGAATATTAGAAAATAAAAAGCATGATGTATACACTCTATTTTATATATGCATTTTGAAATATCTAGCTTTTAAAAAAATTGAGATTTTAAAAATAACATAAAGGGAGTTACATTTTTACGACAAATTTTTATTACTAGAACATATAGAGCAAAAGCTTGAAATATCGTTAAAAAAATTTATATGATTACGAAGCATATATGCATGTTTCACAGACATAATATTTCTCACATAACAATTCTGCTGTAGAATTAGTCGGGCTTTTACCTTAGAATTGAAATTCTTTGCTTGTTTTTCCGCAGACAGGTTGGCAGGTTCTGTAAGAGAGAATGAAAACAGTAACGCAGCATAAGATTACATATGTAAAGACATTCTAGCGCGCGCTCGGGAGGGTAAGAAAGAGAGATAAACACAGGAAATGGAACTCTCTTGTCTGCGAGCGTAGGAAAAAGCTATCCGACACACTTTCCTAAAGATTCCGCTTCAAAAGTGACTGCTACGCCGCGGGGATCCTACGGGATAAAGTAAATGCACAACGGGCGTTACAGGCATATCTGTCGCGTCATGTGTTACGTAAAATTTTACAAAGTTGACTCAGCGCAAATGCAAACACATTTCTGAATTGTCTGAAGGACCCACTCGGTGATGCCAGGAATTACGCACCAAGTTTTACTTTGTATATCATTGTGATAAATGTAAAATCGTGTTACATTTGATAATTAACTTTTCGTGCAATAGATGATGTTACTTGGATACATTGTTTTAATTTATATTTGCATATCACACGCGCGCGTTTGTTAATAATAATATTTTATTTAATTAAGTAAGAATAATTAAATTGCATCTGCAAAAATATCTTTCTACATTAAAAATGTAGTTTATGTAAAAATGAAACTTGAATTTTTCATTTACAAACGTAGAATTTACAGACACGTTCATTATTTGTTAATTATTTCTGAAACATTAAGTTAATCTAAAATACATTTTCGCCACAAGGTTACTTCTACTTCTGCAATCTAAGCTCATTTCATGGTATTACCTTAATGAAAAGCTTCGTGCTTTTAATAAAAAAAACATATCTACTTTCCGCTTTTACGAGAAAACGTATTTTCGCAAGAGGAATTTCTGCTAGTTGCGGCAATGTAAGCCTATCGTCGTAACATACTCTTGTGATCGGTTGGTGTTTCGCTGACGGAAGCGTCGGGGTCTTCGAGTCGTTTGAACCCTTTTACACGACGCTTCTACGACGGGACTAAACTCATTATCAGATGCTCGTTGGTTCGGAAACTGGGGCATCCTCGCCTAGCCTCCATCGACCCGACGGGCGAATTTTATCGGATTATGGCCTTAATCGCTGTGATAGGAACGACATAAATGTATCCATAAACTTCTGCATTTCGCTGGACAATGAAAGTTGGCAAATTGCGCCTTTTAGGAAGAAGCACGACTTCCGCGTTATTAAAAAGATGCAGAGTCAGAGATGCCATTGACTTGGATTTATCGTTGAATAAGCTCGCTATGTTTACACAGAATGCATGTACATTAAACAAAGAGATTTAAATACGAATTGATAATTTCTTTGATTTGTAATTTATGTGCTTTATAATTTATGACATTTATTCAAAACTTTTAAGCAAAGTATTTTTAAGTTTTTTTTTTTTTTTACATAAATATGTAATAGATGGCGAATTCAGTTCATTTTAAAGAACATTTTATTTTTGTGCTATAACATTTTTACTTTTATACTTGGCATTGAAATTTGATCTAAAATTCTGTCATACGTAGCAGTTTAACGCGATGAAGTAAAATTATATAAGTTCTCGCGAAAATCCCTTTCCCTAGTTTTACCGCGGAAGATTTCGCACCGTTTCCACGAGGAAACGGGATTCCCGACCAAAGAAGAAAGGTGCGCACATCTTTTGTCTCATTGCCGGCGGCAGGAGTCTCGGCGGAGAAGAAAATCTCGGCGGCGCCTGCTTAATTCTTTAATGTGGAATATTTCTGCACTTAATTAAAAAAAAGAGAGGGAAAGGAAAGAAAAGAACGTACTGGACGCCGCGGCCGTAAGGACGTCGAGTTCCCTTAAGTGCTGCTTGTTATAAAACGCGTCTTTTATCTTGGCGCCCTCCCCTCCAGTTCCGCGCACCCCTATCTCGCACCACCCTCTTCTTTTCAGTCGCGTCTCTTCTTGCCTCGAGCACCCGGTGGCCACACCCGGCCCCGTTCTCCCCGTGCTCTCGCGACTTGAACTCGTCAAAGCTAATGTACAGGCGTAATTCCTCCTCTCAACCGGCACGAAAACTCTTTGACGGCGCGGACAAGCCCTTTGCGCCCGACATTCTTTTTGTCATCATATTAACAGACATAAAATGATTGCGTTGTTAGAGTAGAGTGACAGACAGAAAGAAAGAGGGGGGGAACCGCGGAATTGAAGAAGCGAAAGAGTGCATTTTAAAACGGGCTAAATTGGAGAATGAAAGGGTTTGAGAAACAAAAAATATTGGAGGTTTAATAGATGAATTAGAGAAGATGGAAGAGTACGACAAATGAGAGACAGCGAAGAACAGTCGTGTGTAGCAAAGAAAAGAGAGAAAAACTAAGTAGCAAAAAATTTACACAAAAAAGCAATAAAGAGATGGAAGAAAAAATATTAATTATAAACAAAAAACTAAATCTATAAATTAGACGAAATTTGTAATCATAAATTGAGCAATTACTTGCGCACAATCTGATAAAATTTAAACTCTGCTACGTTATTCTTTAGATACTTATTGCAATAGCTTTCGATTTAAATAAAATTGGAGGAAAATATCGGAAACAATGTAAATACATTTTCTCACGCAACGAAATCTCAAGACTTAACGCGCAACAATTTTGATCAATATTTTCGAACTAAGTGATTCATGCGTTTATTTCGTTCGGGCTCAAGAAAATAGGCTTCGTAAATCATTGTAATCCATGGAGTAGCGGTAAATAGAAATACACCGCTGCAAGCGATATATGTGAGGTGAGACTTAGAATTTCGCACGCGCCGTGAAAATTGAGCAAAATACGACCGGCAGTTAAACGACAATTGAGTAATACGAAAGTTTTCCACCGGACGAAGTATACTGTACATCCGCGATACGGTAGCGGAAGTGAAATGATGGACAGAGCGGAAATGCGCCCGGCCAAAAGCGAGGGATGAGTCGGAGGGGCATGCGAGAGAGAAAAGTAGAGAAACGCCTGCCTTTCTCCCCCCCCCCCCCCTCCTATCCTTCCCGAGCTTAAACCGACGAGCAGAATTTGTTTATGCAAATTTTAATTGCGGCCCAAGGCGTAACTCCTAATTCCGTTGAAATTAATACAAATTGCATTCTGCCGGTGACTGCTCCTCCGGCCGGCTCCTACTTTCGCGTGCAGGCCGCATTACTACGGCTCCCTATCACCGCCATGAGACTTTTATGAAGAGAGTTTTTCTCCTTTGCTGCCTGCAGCGACGGTTACGTCGCCGTTCGGCGCGGAATTACGCCGATAGGCGTAATGACATCAAGCCTGGGCATCTCTATAAGTATGGCGATACTAAAAGTTACGTATTCATACAACAGATAACCGGCGTAACGTCGCTGTAGGCAATGACGGCTGAGGCATTAAGATATTTTATGTTTATATTAAAAGCTTTCTTCGGAAATATTAGTATCAGTATTTTGATATATTTTTATTTCCAAATCATTCGCTTCTTTTACGAATTTTTTTGTTTCACTACGTTTGTAAGGGAAAATTTTTTTTTCTGAGAACTTATTTAGTTATCGCGCTCGTTTGTTTTAATACGTCACTGCTATCTTAGAAGCAGTGATAACGGAGAGACGTCAGGTTTTTTACGAATTACAGTGAGTAAAGCATGAGTGATGCGCGGAGCCGAACGTAAATGATTGATTGCGACCTGGTTCAGATCGGGACTACTCTCGATGAACGTGTTGAGAATTCATATTCGGCGTTCAAGCGTGCAGTCATCGCTGCACTCGTGTTTAAATGGCGCGTGCTCCCATTTTTTTTTTGCAGCGTACAAATCGAGTTTTATTAAAAGCGATTGGCGCCATTAAATCTATGTGTGCACTGGCACCGACTAATATTTCGCTGAATCCAAACTGAATCACCCGAAATACGTTAGTAGCGCGAAATATTTATTCCTTAAAAGTATGTAGATACCAGTATTATTGGATATAAGATTTTAGATCACTTCCCGTTTAAGATGTGCGAAGTTAAAATATTTAACGCGAAAGCTTTTCGGTTTTTAAGCGTTACAGACGTTTCTATGTCAGCGCGATGTAAAATACGCGTCCGAGTCGGTAAAACACTGTGAAAACGAGTGAGCGCGAAAAATTAGCACTCGTACACACAAGGGTTTTCGGGATGCTAATTCGCGCGGCCGTTGCGGCCCACGACGAGCAGCGCTGTG